GTTTGCACAAAACCATAATACCCGTCTAGCCCATATTCAATGGGTGCAGGGTATTAGAAAGAGAGACATAGCCGGCTGACGAAGTATGGGAAGCACGGGCAGGCATTGAGTAGTGAGTGCTCTCTGTAGGCGTGACAAGCGCGCCCGATACAAATTAATTGCAGCGTAGACGCAGCCCAGACAATGACGTCGACGTTGACTGCCGCGTGGGGAGCCCAGCAGCAGCTACAGTTGACATTGGCTACTGCAACAGCAACAGCAGCAGCAGCAGCAGCAACAGACGACGACGAAGCTCCTCAAGTGCCTGAGCTCAGTGTAATTCGAGATGCAGCTTTCAGAGTCTGCGATCTTGAGAGCGCAGCTGCCTTGCTGCAACAGCAGTAACAACAACAACAATAACAACAGCAATGCACATTTAATACAGGAAGTAAAACATTTTTTAGCTTTTTATACAATTTTTTCCTTCTCTTTTTCTTAAACCTCTGCCTGCGCTCAAGCATATATATGTATATGCAATATGCATTAAGCTGAGACTTGCCAGCTAAAAGATGAGCGTTGAGAGTTGAGAGTTGCACGTTGAGCGTCAGCGTCTGCAATGACAATGCAAAAAATGACATCGACAGGAAGGAAGTGCTTGCTGTTAATGGTAATACACCCCGTCATTTGGGATGGGCGGGGGGTGGGCAATTGGAATTTTGAAGCGTTGACGGCGAACACCTACAACGAATTCCACTGGAAACATTTCTGTCAAAGTGTGTTGCTTATTGTTGTTGTTGCTTCCTTCTATATATTTCTGCTTGGACTTCAACTCTTGGCTAGATTAATGAACAGTCTGTTAAATAGAGTGGTGATTGTTGCCTGTGCAAATTCTCTTAGAGAGACCATTAACAACTTTAATAGCATTCAAAGTTCTCTCTTTAAGTATCTTTAAGGCAAATCAAGCGTACTGTACACAAACAACTTGATATTTCACTAAGCCTTTGTGGACTTTAGATACATGTTAGAGCACATGTTGAATGTAAAGATAAATAGTGAAATTAATGTTAACATCAGCATGCGCATCTAGGCTGAATGTTGAATTCCTAAGAAGTCCAATCATACATATGCATGTGTGTAATTTATATACCCTTGTAGACTGTTTAACTAGTTTGTCACAAAATGCATAATGCAATGCTAAATTATTTTTATTTAATTTTTCTCTAAAGTTTGCTACCTATCCACACAATTTAGTGATATTAAATTTGTTTAGATTAATTTTAATAATGGCGTAGACATACTTCTTTGCCACGAGCCTATGACAAGATAACAACATAAAGTCTTATAGGAATAATCGGTCGTTCTTTCTATAGAAAACTTTTCTGTTTTTCAAAAAAACTTTGACATAAAACCATTCCTTATTCAATGTTTATGTATTTACACATGCCTTTGATCCACACTCGCTTAGAACATTTTATGCTTTTAGCCATTTGATAAGTCCATTAGTTGGTTGAATCTCAAAGTATTAGAGCTATGGTTAGATAGCTAAGCAGCATTTAATCATTGGCTTTGTGATTGTAACAGTTTGTTGCATGACTAGAGAAAAAGGAAAAAAAAAGATAAACAGAAAAACAACAACAAAGAGCAGCATAAAATTGTGTGGAATGTGATTTCGCCATTTGTCTCTGAGCTTGTCGCTGCTCTTTTCTCTCACAGTTCCGTTGATTTCTTTGCTTGTCTCTCAGCTAAGGTTTCGTTATTCATTTGCTCAAATTTCGTCGGTTTTTGCGTCAAATGACATCGACACAAATATACACATGCACACACACACTTATTTGACATGTGGCGACATTCAAATTTCAAGCTTCACAAAATATTTGAACGACTGGACAGAGTTTCAATTCAAAATTATTTCAGGGTAGAAACGATTCTTGGAATATTCACTGCACTCCCGAAAATTCTGATTACGTTCGGACCACGAAATGCATTTTCCAACTATAATTTTCATAATCTCATAATCATGTGCCATTGACATAACGAATATTGCGAATATCACGCATACGCCTCATGCACCCATGCATAATGCATTATCAAAATGCATCGTCGCCTTCGAATTGGGCAAACAAACGAATTTGCTACTGAATTTGCTATGGCGCATATTAAAGCAAGTTTTCATCCCAGAGGCAACAACTAACTAACAATCGACCAGACCATCAACTTGATTAAGACGATTAACACAAAAACGCTCATTACCAGAGCACGACTTGTTACCGTCACATATGGCATATGCCGGCAAGATGAAAGACATTAAGTCCCCTCTGGAATGCTAAACAGTTGGTTTAATCGCCACTAAGCAAATATATATGCAGTAGACTTTGGGATTTAATTTACACGCTTTTGACATTCTCAAAATCAGCTTTAATCTTGGCAAACACAAATTCTATGTTGTGCGTTTGGAAAGCTTTTAAAGGCATCAGTTTTTAAAGTAAATTTAAGCTTTTCAGATTGAGATTAATTTCATTGCGCCTGTTAAGTTGAATAAGTCTTTAGCTGGGAACTTAACTTTCATTGTCACTAAAAGCTTATTAATGCTTTAAAGTGAACTTAATTATACAAATGATACACACAGAACAGAGAAATTGGAAGTCTATTAATAATATAGCTAGTCTCTGAAATGCGCGTTTATATGGACAGACAAACAAAAGGGTGGCGGGAATCTGTAAGCTTTTGACTAACAATGATCAAATGATTGTTAAATTCATAACATTTTCTTCACATTTGTCAAGATGGCCCTTAAAGAGCATGTCAAAGAGCATGTCAAATCAGCAATGATCCTTAACCAGCTGACAGACTCTAGTATATAATTTTCTGCCTGTGTTATTATAAGTTGCGGTTGCCGGACTGCATCTGACGTCCGGCATCTGAGCTGTTTGCATTTGCAAAAGCATTAAGATTAACTACAGAGTAAACAGCAACAGCCAACATTCATATATTACCTATTGATAATCATCATCATCATCATTATCATTCCCATTATAATCATCTCATTTCCAATTTCGACTGTTGTTTCAATTTATTTGCTGCCCGCGCGCACACGCTGATTGGCGCTGTGCAAGTGTCATTGGGCATAACTATCTCTCACTTGCTCGCTCGCTCTCTCTCTCTCTCTCTTTGTCTCTCTCGCTCGCTCTCTCTCTCTCTTTGTCTCTCTCGCTCTCTCTCTCTCTCTCTCTCTCTCTCTCTCTTTCTCTTGAGTGGTGCGTGTCTACGCGCATCAGGTCTGTGGTTGGGCGTCTCGCTTCAAGCGGAAGCGCAACAGCAATGATGTTGTTAATGTACATTATTCTCGCTGATTATCATTGCTATGCTTATTATGCTGATTATGTTTCACTGTATTACACACACATCCACACACACACACACGCTCGCACTCGCATACACACAAACACAACCTTAACCTCTCTCCCACTGAGGCCATTGTTTAATATTTCATTTCACAGTGGATTTTACAGTTTGCAAAAAACAATTTTGTCATTTAATGAAAGTTAACAATCAAAGAGCAAGTATTCATTACTTAACAATAAAAACAGAAGTACAAATTATACAATACCCTTGCATATGCATAGCAGACTTTAAGATATGCTTATTATATATACACACAATTATATTTTCTAGATAAACACCCAATTTTAGCCTCACTTTCTGAGTGGGTGCTACATAATATAGTAGCCTGATGTTGACTAATTGCTGTTCACGTATTGCGAATAGTTCGTAGCTGCTGAGTTTGGTTAAGATATTCGGAAGAATATACAGTCTTGCATACATTAACATATCAACTTGTACAGATTATAGTTTGTACAATAAGTGTAGATGGGTATCTTATGCGGTCGCAGAAGTCTTCTTAAGCAAGAAGTGAGAAGTAGTTAACCAAATGATGCTTTTAACAATTTTATACGAATGGAATGTTTTGTTGACGGCATTAATCAAAGTTAATCAAATCAAAACGATGCTTATCACATACATAAATGCTTGAAAAGCAACCACACAGACTGCATTGCCCCTGAAAGAATGTATTTTTGAACAAAAACATATTATATATTATTGATCCCTTTTTGTTGATATGAATATGAATACATTTTGAAATGCAAGTTGTTCATACTTGTGTCTGAATATGTCGACCTGAAGATTCTTATGATATTTGCAGCGCCTACGGCTGGGTGATGTTTCCAAAACTGTATATACAATATCTCTATTCATATGCCTTGAAATATGGAAATGGGAGAAGATATCGAGAAAAACTTAAACGAGTTCCGCGTTTCGCATACGAGATATATATATTTCAATAATTAGATCTCTAGCTTTTGAAGATGGCCAGACAGACATGGCTTGATCGACTCTGCGAGAGGTCGGCGACGCTTCCTTCTGCCTGTTACATACACTTGTACAAAACAATTATACCCTCCCTTTTTAAGCACTTTCAAAGCGTTCTGGTTACAAAAGAAAATACTATAGTATAAAAAATGCACCAGTTTTTGATACATTTGTACCACTGTGGCTACCGTGGGCATATACCAAAAGCAAAGCACAAATTCAGAGCAACATCAGAAACAAAAAAAAAAAACATGAACTGGAACGGCGGCACAAGCAAACCAAACCGACCAGACCAGACCAGCTGCCGCCGCCGTTATTGACGTTGCGACGTTGGCGTTGACGTTAGCGTCGACAGTGACGCTGACGCTGACGTCGACGGCGACGTCGTGCGAAATTTATCACCCAACAGATTCTTGAACTCGACGGGCCGTAAGGTCGACAACTTGGCCTGCTAACGGCTGCTACCTGCTACCTGTCACCCGTTACTGTAAACCCCAAGAGCTCCCCCCTCCCACCCCCGCTTGCAATCTCGTTACCCGCTAGCCCCTCTTGCAAGCTTTGCATGACTGATTGTTTGATTAATGTCTCGGCCCAGGCCATGTGCATTCACTAATCTCCTGTTGTGGTTTTTTTTCGTTCTGTGTGTTTTACAGCCATGTGGCGGCGATGAGGCAGACAGCAGCTGGGAATATGCCGTGCCACTTGTTGCACGCCGTTTCCTTGCAGCAACAGCAACAGCAAGAGCAACAGCAACGACAGCAGCAACGAACTCGCATCAAATATCCTGCATATTACTCATACGCCATGTGCCGCCAGGATGCTACCGTAGCATGTTGCACCAGCAGCAGCAGGAGCTGCCACCGCTTGTGGCTAAGACGTGCTGACTAATTGAACTATCAATAAAGCAACAACAGTAACTACCGCAGCAACAGCAACAACAACAACAACAACAATAACTTTAAGCAGCATCAACCGCAACAACAACAACAACGGCAACAACAAAAAGCAAGCGAACAAAGTTGCTCGCCACACAACGCAAAATGTCTGAGGTAAGTTTGGTAATAAATTTTGTGGTAGTTGCAACTATCTTGGGGCATACAATTTATACTAATGAATTTAAAATCGAGTTTACCAGTCCTTATAACCAAAAACAACTTGGAATCAAAATATGCACTTAAAGGCAACGAGCGAGTGTGTGTGCGAGTGAGAAAGCCAGAGTATAAACCACAGCAAGATGATGAACTTAATGAACGCAAAAGTTACAAAATTCAATTTCATCAAATAATTTATTTTGCGCCTAGATAGCGAAAGTCTGCATTTACATTTTTGGCTGGCCCGAAAATTCAATAAAATACGTATGCATCTTCTATAATTTTAATGCCAGGCTCAACAAATTCATATATTTTACCACCTTGTCTCACCTGATTGTGACTGTAATTATTAGATCAGAGTATTGCGCTCTTTGACAATTTTCTTACGTGTTTTCAAGTCAAAATCAACTAATAATAATTGAAACACTTGTCAAAATAGCTTTCATATAATTATAATATATAATTTGGCCGTCAGGCTAAATTTAGAAAATCTTTAGTATAACTATAACTCCATGCTGAGCTGAAGTCTGTTAAGATAGACATTTTTATATAGAAAGACTTGAGTCTTTTCGTAAAGAGATTTCCTTATTACATCTCAACTAATGATGTGTAAATACCATACATGGCTGGATGTATATACATACATATACGTACTAAGTAAGAGAATATCTTACCTAGAGCCTCTTGTTGTCTTAATCAATCCACAGCCCAGTTTGAGTTACTCGAGTGTCTCTGTAAATTGTTGGAAAACCATTGTGTGAGGCTTTTTTGTGTTTATCATCCGATCGGGGTTGAATTTATTTTCAAAGATCTTTCTCAGCATTTTATCATGCTGTACATATATACACATTCCCTAGCCCTCTTTCGTTTAAATGGAAGTTCAAGATTGAATAAGTAAAAGTAAATCAATTGTTTGATCGAATTTTAATTTAGTTTTCTCAAACTTTCTTTTAATCTTGTAAGGGTAAATATACATATTCTAAGGGAGGCAAATGTGTGAAAAATCGTATGAAACTAGTTTGGCTCTGAGCAACTTAGGAAATTATTTTAGGGGCTAAACTGACTTTTTATTTGCGAACATTTTGCCTACAATAGTTACTGAAGTTATGCCAAATATTTCTTATAGAATTATAAGAAAGAAAACAATGAGTAGAAAACAAATACTTGAAGTTTAAGTCAGTTTTGTCCAGTTGCAAGTGGCACAGCTCTTCCCACTGAACAAAAACAAAAACAAGGGAAACAACAACAATATGTTGAGGGCTGCCTGGTGGAATTTGTCTTTCTTGGGTCCCGCATAATCATTTGAATTTTGGGTCAGTGACGTCGTCGTCTCATGTCTCATGTTTATGTATGGGATACACTCACACACGCATGCACTCACGCGCTCTCATCTAGTGAGAGAGGGAGAGGGGTGGATAAGGAGCGAGGGAGAGGAAAGAAGTAAACAGAGGTGCCTTTACCTTTACGAACAGCTGTTGCCACACCGTGTCACAAATATTGACCTAATTTGCAGCTGTTTACAAATTCATTTGGCCACCGTGTGGCCCACATCGCATATCCTCGCATCCTGTGGGGCAGGACTTTGCGTTTTTGGCGCATGATTTATGCAGCACCGCGAAGCCCTCTGCCAGTTGCCAGTCGCCAGTCGCCAGTTGCCAGTGGGCCGTTGGCTGTTGCCAGCGCTAGTTTAAAGTGGGTCAAACCAGTCCACGTCCCAGGCAGCGTGCCCCACTCAATCCAGTGGCTATCCACAGGATGTTTGCGGTAGCTCCAGGCTAGCGGGGATTGCCAGCCTGGCGGGTCAGCGGAAAGGCGGGTCAGTTATGAACACATTGCTGGCATTCCCTTGTTAAACAAATTTACATTTTCATGCGCTAACGGAGCAGCCAACACTGGACACTGGAGAAACGCCACACGCGACCGCCAAGTTGTAGAAACCCAAAAGTGAGCGGCGTATACGAAAAACACAATCGAAATACTTTCAATTATATATTATACATCAGCATTACAGCTAGATAAATATACTGATAGGGTCTTATCATTTAATTCTAGTTGTATTTCACATAAAAGAACTTTTTAGGTATACGAAAACTTGCCAACAGCTTAGGAACACCAAGCGACACATACATAGACAGTCCAGTCGTAGCCATACAAGAGATTGCTACTATTTTGATCAAGATAACATATATATAACATATATTCTTTCTTAGAACCAACGCTGCAAACCCGTTTTGAGCTGAACCAGTTTGAATCTATACCATAAATCTGGTTATTTGTGCAAGAAACAGCGGAGCCTTAGCCTTAGCCTAAACCAAATCCTTTTATTCAAAAAGTTAATTTGCAAACTCTGAAAATTGCTTTCAGAATCCTTACATTACTCCAACAATGAAAGAACGTTGAACAAATTATGCAACTTAGGTCAGGAAATGTGTTGCAAGCAATGTTTCTATAGATATTACCATTCAGATAAATTGCGCTAATTCACCGCGAGGCATTGGTTCGAACCGCGAACTGAAGCACCTAACGATTCTTTTGGGTTAATAATATTTTAATTGGAACTTCCCAAAACTACGCTTCTCGGCTTTCAGAGAAATTCCAGCTTAAAGACGGGGCCACTCGTTTAATTGGTTCAAATTGTTAAAGCTTGTTTATTTTGAAGAGAAAAAAGCATTAAGATGGGCGTTGCAGAAAACCAATGCACTAGCTTATGTTTTTAAGTAGATTAAAATGAATTAGATGTCGTTCTTAATGATTCCTGTGAAACACTTAAAACACTTGTTACTGAAAAAAACAAGTAAGAGATTCTAGTCGGGAGCTCACGACTAAGGAATACCCTAACCTCCAACACCAATTTTTTACATTATATCTTATTGTACCATCTCAAAAAAAATACAATTTGAGTTATTAACTTGATTTATAGCTCTGCGGTGGTATCGGCGAGATGGCGATAGGTATAAAATGAGAGATACTTGATACAATTCGCTCAAAATCAGGATGTCGATTTTTATTGATTGGATCGGTGATGCTTCCTTCTGCCTGTTACATACATTTGGACAAATACATTATACCCTTTTAACTTATTTTCAATGGGTTCAGGGTATGAAAACAAAATTCTTATAAAATTGGGACTGCCCCAAAGTAGTGGAGAATTCGGATTTTCAGAATTCCAGGTTTCAGTTATAAATTAAAAAGTGTTCGTGGGCAGAATTAAATGTGGGATAAATGCTTCTTTGAAAATAAAAGATTTACAAATATAGCCAGACAAAGAGAATATACTGGGTATAAGGATTATGTAAGGGCAAGGGACTTAGCGACAAAACCAAGCTAAAACAAAGATAAGTGCTCTAGTCGGGAGTGTTCGACTAGGAGATTCCCTAAAGTTAGCGCTGAGCTGCCATCAAACACATTCGAGCTAGTTTTCAACAAAATTAGTTTCTTACAAATTTACGGAAAACAAGGGAAGGGAAGAAGTAATATATTCTGGATAGGTGTATGCATTGTAAATTGAATGCCTCTCGTTTTTATAAATACGGAGATTATTTGTATCGTGTTCATAGAAACGGACAAGTTCGTTCATAATTTCAAGTCCTTAGCTCTTCTGCACAGATGGATGGACAGACAGACAGGCGTGACTCAATCGACTCCGATCGAAGATACCTCGTTCTGCGTGTTACAGACATTCGCTCAAAACCATTTTCAATGATTTCAGAGTAAAAAAAGGAAACAGAAAATGTTGTTTATAATATAACGAAAATATTGTGTGGCGAATAATGCAAATTGGCGTAAGAACACAATAGAATGTGTAAGTAAATTTCTATATGGGAGCTTGGCAGCAAACTTGTTAAATACTTTAAGTTTAATCTTGGATTGAAGAGCTGTAGTAACATTGTTCACAAAAGAGCTCAACAGTTGCTGTTGGCTTTAAGTATTTGTGCATATGGGAACATATGTATACACAACCCAAACAACAAAAGAAATGGCAAACCAAATAAAATGTGCAGATAAATTGCAATTGGCAACAGAACGTCAAATGGCAGATAACCGAGCCGAATGGATACCCATAGAGTCAGTGGTTTTTCACTTTTATCTCCGAAGTCTCCGCCAAGCAAAAAAGCAGCTCATAATAAAATTCACAATGCTTTTTTTTTTTTATTTTCATGTCAGCTTTTGCCGAATAAAGCATTCATGTGCGTATATATTTGATCAGGACGATGAGCTGAGTGGATATTGGCATATTCGACTTTATTCTTATGTTTCTTTTTACTTCGGTATGGAACCATCGGGCGGGCATTGAGTTGTTGCATAAAAAACATTGTCCTCTTAAAGTAATCTTGACTTGCTCGTATTTTCGGTAAATATGGAAAATGGCAGCACCAATAAAAAGAATCTGTCTTAAATTAATATATTATATTAAAACCTTTTGTCAACTGACATTCGGAGCGAATTAATTCATGAATCAAATAATGTTTTTTTTTTTCAATGAAATATATATTCCAGTTCAGATATAAGGCGTTTGTTTTTTATCTGACTAGCTCTGTTAAAAGTTGGGTTAATGCCTTTTTAGCTTGGACACATTTCAAGAAAAATCTAAATACCATAACCAGTAGACTTTTGACCACTACATTTGACCAGTCGTGGTTTTATAATAGATCGAATTTCTTTATTTCGTACATCTGTAGTTTGCCCGAAAGGGTAATAAATCTTCCACACTTCATTGGATGTGGCATGAAGCCACATAAAGGCGTTCAATTCGGTGCATTAAAACAAAGGCGCGATTATGATAATGATTTTTACTATGATGATGATGATGATGATGATGATGTTGTTGTGGTTGTTCTTATTATTGTTGCTGCTGATTTGTGGTAATTAGGCTACTAATTCTTCCTTCGAACTAATGCGTCTATTGCTAACTCTGAGCTGCCTGGTCGTCATTTTCACTGATTGTTTCTGTTTCCTGT